TTTTTTTTTTTTGGGGGGGGGGGGGGGGGGATTAAAGTTCATATTCATATGCATATTCATGATCATGTAATGAAATAATTATTTAGTGCTTTAAAATGGTTTAGTCAAAAAAACCATTTGCCCCTAGATACCAGTAATTGATGTGTGTCAAAGTTGATAAGTGTAGTAATAAAACACGGGGTCAATTACCGGCATAATAATCATTTAGTAGCCTATGCCTACCCTGGAAGCAGTTTGATGTAGGAGTCGTTCTCCAGTAAGACAAAGGTGCTCCAGTCACGCAGCAGTGCATGCAGGGACGTGAGCGCTTGGCGACACAGTACCACATGGAACCGTCCACTAGAGTTAGGTGTGTGTAGGTATTTAGGTAAAGGCACGTCGTGTTCAAGTATCATTCCTATACGGTGGCTGTGCATCCACTTTTGCCTGTAAAACACAACATATGTCTACCTTAGTACAGATCCTTCATGGTTCCCACAAAATTTGGACCCCAAACATAAAAGTTGGTATTTTTCATAATTCACAATACAATCACTTCATATTGTATTCAATAATTTTTAAACATTTTATCACTTTTAACAATATTAAATTCTAAATTTAAAAAATTCTAAATATTAAGAAACTAGATTGTTATGAAATTCTTGAAATATATAACATAAGAAGCATACTGAAGTCTCAGTTTAACTAAACAAAGAACGAAAAGAAGAAAAATATACTTAACTACAGTTCGACCAACTTACCAAATCTTTATATCCAGATTCACCACTGGTTTCCAATACATTGCAAATGAAAGCAGAGCAGAATCCCTAAATAACAGAAACACATGTCTATCAACACGATTGGGAAATCAAACATTTAGTCATATTAATTCTTCAGAGATTTTTTAACAGTTAAATAGAGCTTATATCTCATATAAAAAGAAAATCTTCTTTGTTAATCTGAGGTAGTATTTAGTGATGTTTGTATTGAAAGAAGAATTCTGAGTATAATATCCACATTTTTTACATCATGCATTTGCCGTACATTATCATTATAAACAAATTCAACTAACTTTCTGAACTATCCAGATTACATGAAAACATTACAATACTTATATCAAGGGAAAGGAGACATTCTCTTTTTAAGGTAAAGGGTACCACTGCATATATTTTAATCGCAAAGAAGAGTTCCAATCTGATTTTTTTTTAAGTTTTCTTGGAGAATTCTCTCCTCTATATAGAAGATGAAGCAACCTTAAGGAATTTTTCCTGATTTAGAGTAATTTTCCCTATCAAGGTTTTCATATGCTTTGTGGCCCATCAATTGGACACTCATGTTGACGCCATCTATGTATAATTCCTGTATGGCAAAAGTGTTGAAGTATAGGTTTTGTAATGTAAGTTACCAGTTGACCCCTACAGTTTCTTGCTTTCTTTTTTTATATCTATTTTCAAACAATCAAATTTCAAACAACTACAATTCTGTCATATACATGGCAACATGCATGTGATTTTATTAAATAATTCTTTTGCAAGTCTTGAATGAATATTTTACAATAATGACATTGATAATAATATAGTTTAACTTGTTGTGTGCCCTTTACTTTCCGACAGTTTCTTTCACCAGAGATGTAAAATCAAGTTAGAGAACTCAATTATAGAGAAAAATTATTTAAAGGGAGACAACCTACTTGTTGTTTAAAGGGAGACAACCTACTTGTTGTTATGTTGTGAGTTTAGCACAGGGTTGTTTGAGTTTGGTGGCATGTAGAACAGGGGGATTCCCTTCTTGATACTGTCAGGGACTTTGTAGTGGACAGCATTGGACCCAAAGGTCTGAAGGTGGTCCAGTAACTGGTCATCCTGTCTCAACCTTCAATACAATCACAACACAATCACAACAAGTCGTGTACCTGATCAAATACATAAAAATAATACTTTAATCATTTACTGCCTCCTGTTGGACTCAGGAAGTTTTAGCAGACACATGAATTATTAAAACATTCATTGGATTTTTTTTTTAAACAATCATGAACATGTCTATAATAGACAGCTCCAAAAGAACCATTTCTTTGTAAAACCTGTCAGTAAAAGGCTGCTTTAATACCAGACCAGCAGACAACCTGTCTATAAAACACAACTCTCAAAGTACTATACCTACAATCTGTCTATGATGGAAAGCTAAAAAAAAAATACCATACCATAAAATACAGGTCTCAAAATACCACCCCTACTGAAAGCCAGCCTCAAAGTATGATACCAATAGACAATCTGTTTATAAAACCTATGGACAACCTGTCTATGACAGACAGCTCTTGAAGTACTACACCTACTGACAACCTGTCTATGATAGACAGCTCTCGAAGTACCACACCTACCGACAACCTGTCTATGACAGACAGCTCTCGAAGTACCACACCTACTGACAACCTGTCTATGACAGACAGCTCTCGAAGTACCACATCTACTGACAACCTGTCTATAATGGACAGCTCCAAAAGTATCATATCCACATACATCCTGTCTATAATGGACAGCTCCCAAAGTATCATATCCACATACAGGACAGCTCCCAAAGTATCATATCCACATACAGCCTGTCTATAATGGACAGCTCACAAAGTATCATATCCAGATACAGCCTGTCTATAATGGACAGCTCCACATACAGCCTGTCTATAATGGACAGCTCCAAAAGTATCATATCCACATACAACCTGTCTATAATGGACAGCTCCCAAAGTATCATATCCACATACAACCTGTCTATAATGGACAGTTCCCAAAGTATCATACAGTCTGTCTATAATGGACAGCTCCCAAAGTATCATATCCACATAGAGCCTGTCTATAATGGACAGCTCCCAAAGTATCATATCCACATACAACCTGTCTACATAGGGCAATTCTCAAAGTACCATATCGACAGACCTGTGAACAACTCTCAATATACCACACTGACAGATAACATATATATAAAGGAAATCACACAAAGAACCATTCCTACTAATAACAACAAAATTCAGTTTCTGTAAATACCATTCTCAAACCAAAAAGCATATTACCTTTCCAGAGTCATCCAAAATCGCTTGATGTTGAACACTCGAGTTTGACTTTGGTTGCCCTTGAGTTGTGAGCAGGTGAAGTCGTGAAGGAAGTCGTAACGTCCCTCTATGTGTATCTCCACATATGTCTGTGAATCCTGGGCACTGTAGTTACCTTCTCCAGTCTGTCTCCTATATCAAAACACAAGTACACTGTATACTGGAGTGTAGCCTTACACTTGAGTCACATACATGTAGCCTTACACTGGAGCCACACACGTAAATTGTATACAGGAAAACTTTCGCCCAGTCAAATATCGCCCTTTGTTGATAAAATCCATGTTCGCCAAGTGTTAATTTTGCCCTTCACATGTAATTACCATACATTGTATTATATTGTGCACTTGTATTCAGTGTCATGATATATTCGCCATCTTTAGGCAGGGCGAAAAAGGCGAAAGTAAAACTGCGGATAAAATTTCCCGGTATACAGTAGCCTTAAACTCTCAGAAACAGTATTTATTATATGTCGACTACACGTTACTACATCTTTATTGGGGCTTATTTAAGATGAGTAGATCCTACAATTACTGTGACGTCAGTCCATAGGTACAAGTATTACTGTCTAACCAAGAATCTGCTGAGGTTGACAGTTTTGAATTTTTCTCCTTACAGTTTGAGAATATCTTAGCTACATAACAGTCATCACATTTAAAACTTACAAACCATTCCTTGTTCAAGAAGTCTTCAATTCATGAAGGGCAGTCTAATTTCACAAAAAAAGGTTTGAAAAAAAAATAATGACATGTAAATTGAATTCTGCATTTTTTTTTTAAGATTTGCTGCAATCAACTTACTTTGCAGTTTCCATCGGCCAGAGTGCTGTGGCAGTATACTCAATCTTGACGTAATCTTTATAGGGTAGGATCAACCGTACCTCAATCTGACTCCCACCTACAATTTAAACAAGGTTTAATTGTAAATTAATCTTGATGTAATCTTTATAGGGCAAGATCAACGATACCTTAATCTGACCTCACTCTGACTCCCACCTACAATTTAAAGAAAGTTTATCATTATCAACAACTTGTTCATATATTGAGTCAATAAAAAAGTGGTGTACAGTACTTAACCATTACCTTTGGTGAGGTAGACGTCCTTGATAGTATATCCCTCCCTTAGCCTCACAGACAGAACACTCAGAATGTTGGCGCTCAGTTTGGCATCCATGTGTTTCTGCCTCACAGTAGGTAGTACAACAGAATTCTTGTCTTTTATAGGATGTGACAAAATCCTGAAAAATAACCAATACATACAAGTTATACTTATCACTGTTACGAGGTATTGGGAAAATTTGGTTGCCAACTTTTTTTAACTTTTTTCTTGCAATGGTAACCTTAAATCAAAATTTTTGAAATTTTCAATTAATTATTTTTGTGATCTTTTGTATATCAGAAAGGACAAGTTATAAATTGTTTGCATCTAGAAATCACTACATCTAAACACCTGGCAGTCAATTCAGTTAAATGAAACAAGTCTGACATATGTACTCTGTGTAGGTGCTTGTCAGCATTTCTACTATGCAATATATACCACCGATTGAATATACACAGGTCCTATTCCTATGTAGCATTAACCCTTTCACCCCTATGTAACTTAAGTAAACTCTACCAAGGAATGATCTGGATGGGCCCATTATGGTCTACAGCGGTGAAAGGGTTAAAGTCATAATTAATGTTTACTGAAAAGCTGATAATAAGAGTTACATGATGCTGAAAGCTTTTGCTTAACATTTTGCTGATGTCAAAATAAATTTTGCAATTTTTAAATTTTGACAGTCTAAATATATATGTTATACATGTACTGCGAAAACTAATTTTGGCAAAATTTACTCACTGTATGGTATTCATTTGTTCGATGTTCATTCAGGTCATATATGATAGCAAATTTTTCAAACAAGTTTTTGAATTAGCAAGTGAAAATCTGGTCATTTTGCAAAACTTTCCTGATGGATAAAATAGTTTGTGTTGACCCCTGCCAGAATTCATGAGCTAGGTGACATGTGATGTTAACATTACCTGCTGGACATGTACAGAGCGACAGGATGCATGGGTTCCATGTGGCGGTGATGAGTTAGTTCGTACTTAAAACCCTCAAGTCCCTTCTGGAAACTCCACAGCAGTAGGGCTTTATGATATATGTTCATCTGCCCACAGCTGTCTTTGGACTGATAAACAAACAAACAAACAAACATGTCAAGACTCATAAATCTGAAATTTTTTAATCAAATCAATGATTTCATTATATGTATCAGGGCTAAGACAATAAGGGTAGTCCCATAGTCTGAGACTAGAGAAATCTCCAGCTGGACTAGTGGTTCTAAAAAACGCTAGCCTGATTGTCTTGTCAAAATTTGGTATGGCCTATCTAGTTGAATGATATTGGTTTAGTGGAGTTTGCACATGGACTAACAAATATTGGAAACTTCTACCCCATTTGATTAGTGGTATTCAAAATTAATTTCTAGCCCTGTGCATGTACACAACCCACCACATACCAAACAGTATAGAAGATGTCCTCCATTACAAAGTGTGTACGGTAAGATAGACATAGGTATTCCCCGATCAGACGTGAAAAGGTATGGGTTCACCTGCCAGACCAAGGGAACTTTCTCCAGGTTCTCCGGTTTCCTCCCACATTACCCCCCCCCCCCAAGCGCACTAACATTCAGACCAACAAGAGTAAGTGTTTCATAATTGCTATTATTGTTATAAAATAAATAAAGTTTATATTTGATAAAATATTACAGTCCTCACTAAAATGAAACCATTTCCGGTTACTAATATAAAGTCAATCTACAATATACTCACAACATCAGGACACATAGCGAAGTAGGCCCCAAAGGTAGCGGTGGCCATGAACTGCAGCAGCTCCACGTGTGGTATACAGCCGAACTGACACCGGGCACAGTACGTCTCTCCCATTTTGAGGAAGGAACACGCCACAGTGCTGTTTCTTAGTTGAGTCATGATATGGTCAAACATGTTGGCATCAGGCGATCCCATCATGGCATCGGTCACTATAATGATTCCTGTAAAACAGAATGAATTTGATAGCTATAGTAATGGATTTCCAACAAAATAATCAATCACATTCTAGGAAAGGAACATTTTCAGTGGAAAATAAAGTTACTCCTGAAGACTTGAAATAATGTTGTTATGAAAATGTTAGTATACATATGTCCTAATATAAGGTCAACTGTACATCAAATGTCGAATGGTTCACAGCATACTAATAGTGATCTGGTGATCACCATAGTAGCTATCAGGAATACAGGATCCTTAACCATTATTTTTAGAATTTAGGAGACTGATCACAATTATTTTCGTATGTGAGAGCTCGAGTCCAAGTTCAGTAAAGATAGAATTAAGTTTTTAGTAAATCAGTTATGTGTCTCAATTGAAAAAAAGAATCATAAAATCATTTTTCTTATGATTTTGCTTCAATTGAAACATATGACAAAAAGTTGTTCTATTTAAAATGTCAACATTCTTGGTGATTATTGGTTGTTTATTTTTCTGATGATCCCAGCCAGACATAAACCATCTCTGATCTTGAAAAGGAAATGAAACATACAAGACTGAACTGAAATACGATTATTGTTTGATAAAGATTTACTGAACCATTTTAACTGGGAAAATGAGATGTACATGAAAACAAAAGTTACCTGCACTGGAGTTCTCTGGTAGAAGCTGAAGAGCAAACAGTCCCTGACGGATGAGGTTGTACAGCGAATCATTGAGCTTACGTCGGTGTGCGTTAATTTCCTCATAGCCCATACTCTCAGCCAAATCCTCGTCCACCTGGGGAAGCATGAAGGATTAGCTTCTTCATATCTGGTCTCACAATCAAAGAAGGCTAACTACTCTGCATTTTTCCACCATCATACCTTAGTTTTTAGACTTCATTGTATGATAAATTTACAAGATGATCTACAGTTACCAGTATGCTGCAAGGACTAAGCATGTATCCTATCATTTCCCTTGAAATATTATTTCTTCATCGTAAACTAACATATATTTTGTATCAATTAAGTTGATAATTTGTTTAATTTATCATTATCTACCATGTTCTATAGATAAAATTATCTACATGTAATATGCGCTACCAGAAATATTATTAAATAAAATGTTCTATAGACAGAGTTATCTACCTTGTTCTATCGACAAAATGATTTACATGTAGTATGTTCTGTAAGCAATATTGTTTGGTGAAATGTTGTATAGACAGAGTTATCTACCTTGTTCTATAGACAGAGTTATCTACCTTGTTCTATCGACAAAATTTTCTACATGTAGTATGTTCTATAAGCAATATTATTCGTCGAAATGTTGTATAGACAGAGTTATCTACCTTGTTCTATAGACAGAGTTATCTACCTTGTTCTATAGACAGAAATATCTACATGTAGTGTGTTCTACAAGCAATATTATTTGGTGAAATGTTGTATAGACAGAGTTATCTACCTTGTTCTATAGACAGAGTTATCTACCTTGTCCTTTAGACAGAATTATGTACATGTATACTATTCAGTAAAAAGTTCTATAGAGCTACCTAGTATGTCCTTGACAAAGTTCAACAATACATGTCCTACCACACTGAGGTTGTTCTTCAGTTTGTTGAATCCTGTGGCCAGACTTTGTTCAAAGGAGTCGAGTCTGTCCAGCACTAGACTAAGAAAGCTCTCTGCATTATCTTCTGTCACCTTCATTCCCTGGGCAAGAACCTGTGAGGACAAATCAAGCTTAGCAATTCAACATTGTAAGGGTGTATGTAGCAGTGCTCAGACGAAACATCAGTTTCTTACATAGACGTTGCTAAGACAAAGGATGAAATTCTTTTACAATTTAATCTATTCAGACAAAGGACTACAGTTTTCTTTTCATTTCCTCCTGCTATTTCAAGAACAATGGTTAGTACATGAAAATATTTGTCCAATAGCTCTTTATTTTATTTTGCATTACAAACATATCACAACATCTATCTAGTTATTTTAGAGTCTGTTTATAGGTTTGCCACAAGTTGTCCCAAATTCCAGGATCAAACCCATGCCTACCAGCATACCAAGGTTCAAACGTTGCTAAACACTCAAAACCAACCAGCTGACCGGACCTTGTTTTTAAACTGCAGTACTCTGTCCTACACCTCAAGTTCTTATATAACAGTGCGGACTCAAACTCTTACAAATCAGTGCTCAGTCTAAAGACTAAAGTTCTTGTATACCAGGTAGTAGTGACAATGCTCTTCAAAAACAGTAACAAAGTTCTTGCCTAACAATGATCAGACCAAATTCTTCCATACCAGTGGGTGTGTTCTATGACCAAGATTAATGATTATCTGGTAAGTGTAAAGTTATGTACCCACACATCAGGAAATACACCATTAGGACTTACCTGGTTGGCAGTACAGGCAAGGACAGGTGTGTAGGCTATGACTGTGACGTAAAGCTCAGGTACAAACTTCAGGTGAGTGCCAGGAAGCATAAACTGAAAATAAATAAATAACGCCTTTTCACGAATTTGACAATCCATATTACTTTTCATCTTTAAGTTGATTCCACAGAATTAAAACTGAGTTTGATAAAACAAATATTTGGTAGGTATTACATGATTAACTCATTCACCCCTGAAGACACATTTGAACTCTTCCAATTCAAAGGTTAGAAAAGTTCATCATGAAATTTCAGGGGTGAATGAGTTAAAAGTGTTACTAGTTACATTTAAATATTGTTACCTTTAATTTATGAGATATATGGTGTCCATGAATGTTACTGACACAATAAACTGATGTTTACAGTCTGTATATATATTGGACATTAATGCAATCTAACAAATTTGTTTTTTGAACATTAATGTTTGAACAATGCATTTGATAAAAACATATTTCATATCGATGGACATTCTTACGCAACTGAAAAATTCAGCCCATTATCTCCTTTTAATTACAAATGAGTATAAAACAATGTGTAATGTTAGGTTTGACCTTACAGAATAATACATAGTACAAACAACTAAATAATCATAAATAATATACTTACTTAGGTATCAAAACAGAACTTGATAGTATTGAAAACCATGAAACACTTCCCAATTAATTCCCAAACAGATCACTCACCGGCTTCACAAGTCCAGTAATACTGCATCTAAGGTTGTGACTGATTTTGTCCAACAGTACTTCTCCAGTCTTAAGATCCTGCAAAAAGATAATGACCACATCTCAACAAACATCATAATAATGCACTCACAGAACTAAAACAGGAAATGTAGAAAGGCAAACAATATAATCAAAACTTAATAGACTTCCCAGAAAACAGCTTCAATACAAAATGATGAAAAGTCTCAAAAACATACAAAAAAAGAGACATGAATGATACAATTTCTACTAATGAAAGGTCTTTAAAGAGTACTGAACTTATCTTAAATTTAACGAAAACTCTTCCAGAACTTTTGAAACGTCCAATTCAGTACTATTGATAACTGTCTGGTATACAAATCCTGTTAATATTAAGTTCAAGGTCATACCCCTGTGTACGGTGGCCACTTATTATTGTATAGTTGGTAGTTGGTTCTATTAGTGTGTTATTTAATTTCACTATATTCCGGCCGGTTACCACAGATACCGCAAAATTAAATACAAAGAGGATATTTACTATGAATATATGGAGATAAAACAAGACCTGTTATCCTTTCACTGCCGAATAATGAAGTTTTAACAACAATTAAATATTGTAATTTGTCTTGTTTTGATAAAACATGTGTAAAATAAATCCCATCACCCAAATACTACAAAACCCTTGTGAGTGCAATAAATTTAATCCCTGCAAGCTAGTTCTGATCAGCACAACCACAAACTATTAGCCCAGCGAAATTAACCCATTCCCTCCTACCCTAAAGTCACATTTGAACCTTACCAAATCAAAGACTGGGCAAGTCCAGTTTAAATGTGTAGGGGTGAAATGGTTAACAACTATACAGTACATAAACAGATAATATTGAACTCAAGGTAGAATCCCTGTACATATTGGCAACTTATTCCATATACAGCTGAAACTAAGGTCAAGGTTATGTTATGTCCATGTTTAAAGAGGTCACTTATAATTGTATACACATACAACTTATACAAACTTTACCAAGGCAGACCCCGATTTTCATGAACACACTCTGCATCTTATATTTTACCAACTGATTTACTAGTTAGAGAGACTATATTGAAGTCAAGGCCATTCCCTGTATCATATATATAATAGCCACTTACTACAGATGCTGCTGAGGGGCTGAGGTCAAGGACAAACACAAGCCTGTATCGCCTTGCAAGGAAGGTGACCACAGTTGATGGGAGAAGCTGGAACATGAATGGCTTCCCAGGTTGCACCAGAGGCAGCTGATCGTCGCCCATCTCCTCATCTTTGGCTGGTACCACTGACACAAGCTTGAGTTCTTCATCTGTATCACTCTATGTACAGAAAATACATTTATGTTTATTCAAAATTAAAACCAGATGTGATAAACAAAAATTCCAAGTTTTATGTAATTTAATTTCATTGAAAGTCTGCTGACATTTGTTTTTATTCCATCAAAGAAGCACACATGCTCAGTGTTAGTGACAGTACTGAAATTTCATTTGGAGCTAATACACACTTCTATGTATTTGGAGTAAATTGATCAGAATGAACCTCCTTCTGAAAATATCTTTTTTTTTAAAAGGTCTACACTGACAGTCCTGAAATCCCATTTGGTGCCTTCATGTATATACTTCTGTGTTGGAGTAAATTGATCAGAAACGAACCTCCTTCATACTTTAAACAAAACAAAGTCTACAATGAAATCACTTAATCTGAAATCCCATGCCAAGCTGAATCTCTTAAGTGTCTGAATGCATTTTCTCCATTTAGAACTCTTTTTTATTAAATATCTTCTTACAATGCACTGTACAGGGTTGAACTGCATCACACTGTTCAGATGCTCGAGAAACCATGAGGCTCGGATATTCCTGGAGATTCTGTAATCCTTCTTCATAAGCAGGTATACAGTTTTAGCTTGGAGGACCTGAACAAAAACAAACATTAATACATATAATATTTTTCATGTAGAAGACAATATCTTTATTTTTTACAATTTACTCTTAACCTATAACATGCTGTTTTTAAAAGTTTCAACTATTGTATACATTTCATTCAAAAGAAAAAAGAAAACATTTTTCAGAAAAAAATTGATTTCATAAACCAGAAGCACATGTATAACTGTTTTACTGATGATACATCATACACCCGCCATGCCTGATCTCCATTTTATCAGAAAGCTATGTACAAAAACAACTTTGTGATGAACATGAATTCAGAAAAAAATTGGTAGATGTACCATATATTATATATCTTGTCAGAAGCATTCTCAATCAAAAGTGACAAGTTTTGCATGTACAAAATGTAGAATATAGTGTAAAATTAATTTGTGACCGAATACATATGGCCTGTCACTTTGTAGATTATCAGCTAAGCAGATAGATTAAAGGGGCTGGTCGGGGAAAATATTACAAAATAAATGGGTCTAAATGTGTTCTCTGGCCTTCCAAAAGTTATACCACGGCAATATGATGGTCGAGTTCTGCTTGCAAAGTCCAGTTTTGACCACTGAAAACTCGGGGAAGCCCCGCGTAAATTTAGCGCAGATCTATTTATATATGTCACGTGTTTGTTTCGAAAGTGAGGCAGAAAAGATAACAATAGCACGCCGTCTATCAGCCATGTCGGACTCAACTAGCGGACAAGACAGCAATACTATACGTAAATAATTGTTTTCAAAGGTCATGTATGATGCAAGTGTAGTATTCCTACCTTTATGTTGTTGTTATATATAACGGTATTGATCCCTCGCGCCTGTCATGACTTTTGCATGCATCTTTTTCTTTCGCCGCGATGTTTACATTTGGCCTTGTTGATGACGTGCATGCGGTAAAATTACATCACTAATCTTGGTCAATTGAAAGTTTTAGACTGTCAGGTGAAGATTTAGGATTTCTTTATTATAATTATAATTTTTACTCTAAGGGAGTGAATTTCAGCAAAATTTGAATCGGTATGTTTCATAAGAAGGTATTTTAAACATGCGTATGACATTTTTTCTCCAACCAGCCCCTTTAATAGTTGAAAAAAAAAAAAAAAAAAAAATACTACATTTATCACATATTTAGTGAAAATGATAATTATTCATTTTGTTACTTTTCAAAAGTACATGTATACCCATTTAAAAGAACTCACACAACTAAATCGGCAAATCAGCAAGTGTTTCAAACGTTTGTAGTTCCTATCTAAAATAAGTTCCGGCTAATTACTGGGCCACTGAAGGAGTTTAAAAAGGAACTGATGACAGATTTTTAGATAAATGAAATGTTCAGGTATTGAACTTTTGAAAAATGTATACTTTTGATATATTTCCATGTCTGTGTGTGGATTTGCACGGGGGCAAAATGTCTGGGGGCGTTTTTGTTTTGGGTCACCAGTTTTGCTTGTAATTTTCTGGTTGTCAATTTCTTGGCGCTGTGACACTCCAATATGCCACTAAACCTACCAAAAAAGTCATTTTGTAGCCATTGCAAAGTATGTATTTATGAATCTAGACAGTTGTCACTGGTTTTGAACTTCAAATATTAAAGTTATTAGCTAAAATGTTTGGTAATAACATATAGGAAATGATTTAGTCGTGTCAGTCCAAACAATGAACCAGAAATATCTTTTGTAAATTATCTAAGCATTTGTGCTGTATTGATAAGTTAAATGTAAACATATTTAAGTCTATGATAATTTGAATATTTTGTGCAATTCAGAAATTGGTTCTGCGCTAATGGGGTCCAATGTCCGTTTCAGATCTTCAATGCAGTAACATCTACAAAGTTCTGTCACAAAGCTGGCCATGGTACAGTATTGTTCATGATCAGCACTTGATCACTTAGATTTACGTTAACGATTAATCAGAGAAGATAAAAGCATTGTAACTTAACAAGAAAATGTCTTTAAGACATGAATGCCTCCTTGCCCCTGAAGTCGGAAGCTTGAATTATGATGAACTCCTTGTGATTTTGCAATGGGATGGGACATGACATGATAGGGTGGACATATATAACACTTTGAGCTCCATTCACACACACACACATGTAGATGTACACACCCTAGTTTTATGCAAGAGCATCAAAAGTATAGGCTTATGGCCTAGTAAGTTGTCAGAACTTGTGCTGAATATGTTTGATTATTCTTTTCAATAAAGTATGTTTGAAGAGAAAAAAGAATTTTATATGTTAGCTAGGCATTATTTGTTTTTTGCCTGCAACCGGCCACTCCAATTGCAACCAACAGCTCAACCATGAAATCCATCTAGCCTAACGCCACTGGGAACAAACCTCATGACCATCCAGCACAGCCCTGTCTTTACATTATTCTGTCTAGTAGTTGCTTACTATATCTCCCAGGATTCTATAGACCTATTGTCATTGTGGCAATTAGGTTTTAATTGCACTTATGTTCGTGGTTGCCTTTAACTTCACCCAAAAAGGAATTTCCCTTTAGCTCAATTGGGAGAGCAGCAGACTGGTGGTCGAAGATGGGGATCGCTGGGACCAATGGAAGCACACTACTCTCTTTCCTGTTTTAAGTGATGTTTGCGGCCCTTCCTGGGGTGACAGGGAGTTAAAACTTAAAATACATTTAAAAAGGAGGGAGTAGTGCGACTAACTTTAGCCAGGTTATAATTGTTAACATATGATAATTATGATGGGTTGCCTTCTTGCTTCTTACTGAAGGGATTTTCCCTACAATATAGTTCATTCATCAGTTGAGCCCTGAGCTAGGAACAGGTCCAATACACTCTGCCGATTGAGCTATATAGCTGTAAAGACCTATAATAGCCTGATTGACCTATCTGAAATAGGTCTTTAGAGCTATTTTCATGTGATTTTCTTTTTTAAGGATAAAACGAAACAAAGTCGCTTTTAAAAGAAGATTTTATCATTAGGTTGATAACAAAAGACATTAAATATAAGCATTCATAAAAAAAAGATGTAAAAAAATCGGAAATTTTACATTTATGAAAAATGAAAATAAACATCTCAATATGCTTTTTTAGTCAACATTATTTAAACCTTCTTGTTTTATGCGACTTTGCTTTAATTTAATGAAAATTGAAATATTAGAAAATATAGCTCAATACAGCTATAATTCATACGTGAATATAGCTATAGGCCTATAGGTCTTTATAACTCGATCGGCAGAGTGTAGGCCTACTGAACCTGAGGAAGTTCCCCTACAGGTCACTGGTTTGGTTCCTGGTGGAAGCACACAAGTTATCTTTCCCGATACATTCTGTAAGATTTATAATGCCACTTTTGACAATTTCTGCTGCATTTTCTCAAAAACAATGCAAACTACTTGTTTTTTCATGTCGGTAATTTTCCTTTTAGAAAAGAGGTAGAAAATCACGGGTCCATTAATTGCTGTCATTCCAAAATGTTGCTATTTTTTTTAAAATAAATCATCTTCCAAATGTTAAGTGTGAACATCATAATCAAGCTAAAAACTACTTTATCAATTAAGCATACTGAATTGCCAACTGTCAACATAATCAGACAAAGTGTTATTTAGTTTAAAGGTGCAGGCCTGAGAAAATGACATCATCAGCTGATCAGGGGCAATGATGATGATAACAACGCAGAACTAGATAAAGTTCATCAGCATACCTGATCCTCAGCTTCACTCTCCGATTCACTCTCCGATCCAGTGTCCTCCATATTGAATTAAAGACCAGAAAATCTAGCTGTTTTCGTGTATTTCACATTGCCGTCATTGCAAACTAGACTTCTTTTATAACTTTCTTTCCAAAAGCCTGTCTGCAACTCGCGTTTAAAAATCAACGTCAATCAGACGCTTTGCATAGTAGTTTTGATTAAAGATTCTCATTCGTTACTTTTATCATGCTATATCTTATATGAAAAGATATTTATTTCTAAGGTTTGTGATAAAATGTCATTAGTTAAAAGAAGATGATAGCAGTATGGTTATTTGTACAGTATCAAAAGATCTGTGCCAGAATAATAAAAGTTAAAAAAACATAAACAGCACTTAGTGTGAGCCCGTCATAACTTTCGTTTGTGTACAGTTATTTTTATCGATTCCATTATGCATTTATCCACATTTAAATTCAAGTAACATCATTCCTGAACAGGGAACCTTTCTTTAACTTTTAACTGATCGATTATGAATTTATGCTGCATGTTCATTTAACGATATAACGACATACATGCCTTTTTCCATATCACTCCCAGTATTAACCTGAGTCTCCAAAACCAACCCTCGGCATGTTTTATTCTGTTTATTACATACTTACAAATAAAATACAGATAGGTCTATTATCTTATGATCTAGTTTTCTTTTGAAATATTGAAAAACGAAAAAAATCCAAAAGGGGTGTATGATTCAGGTTTTGGGTTGTGATACGACAAGTGTTGATATGGGTCACAGCAATTGTGTCGTATTGCATATACAAAAAACCTGCATTTATTAGTAAGTATGTATAATAAAAGCTTTTTAAGAACATGAATTATTTCAAACCTGTTATCTCTCAGCTCTCTTCCTATATCCATGCCACATCTGGAGGTCTGATCATATAGATTTACATTCTCAAAAATTTACAAATATATTGGTGATTTAATGTGATCAACATCCCACCCCCACCCCCCAATTTCTATCTGCAGTCACACAACCTCCCCTCAAGATCAGGATATCTGTAGGAGATTTTTTTACTCTAGACCTTATGAATCCTTGTCAGAATATTTTAACTATTTCATGCATAATTAATTAGTGCTAATTAAGTTAGTCTGGTTAATTCATTTATCCAAACTTAAAAGGCAACTACAGTCTACATTCTGGACAACAATTAGATACATTTTAGTCGTTGGTTATTCAGAAGTTTAATTTTACACATTTGACCCCTATTGTTCAGGGTCACTGATTTGAACAAATCCAATATCCCTTCATTCAGGTAAGCTTCTGGCTAAAATTTTCATTTAAGCTTTTTGGTGATGCAAAATAGGATCTTCAAAGGTGTTAACAGATTTGACCCTGTGACCTTGAACACACATCGTTGTCATTCATTTGAATACAATTAATATGCTTTTATCATAGCATTCTACTGACCAAATACTATAATCTCCTTTGGTTAATCAGAAGAATATTTTTTGAATATTTTAACATATTTGCAACATACCTATGATTTATATAGTGGGTCAAGGTCATTTATTAGAACAAATGTAATAGCACTTCATCCTAGCATGATCATGGTCAAATATCATGACCTCTTGGTTATGCAAAACATTGTTCAAAGGTTTAAACACGTTATATAACAGATCAATAAATAAGATCCCATGTGCCCTTGTAAGTTCAAGCTTATTTATTTGGACAAACTTGATAGCTATTAATATCAGCATGCTACTGGCCAAAATATCATCACCCTAGGCTTCATGGTTATTCAGACGAAAATGTTTTAAAGTTTTAACAAAATTGTCCCTTAATGCAACCTTGAAAGTGGGAAGAGGTTATTTTATTGATCAAATCTACCGGGTAATAGCACTTCATCCCAGCATGCTACTGGTAATATATCATGACTATTGGCCTCTTGATTATTCAGAAGATGTTATTTAAAATGTTAAGCAAATTTGACCCTTAAAATCTTAAAAGTGGGTCAAGGTCATACATTTGAATAAAATTGATACTCTTTCAACCTAGCAAAATATAAACTTGATGTCTGTCCAACCCTTTCACCACTGTAGACCATAATGGACTTGTCCATGTCAATACATGGTACTGTCTACCAAAGTTTCATCATTAACTCAAGAAAACAAATCATTAATGAAAGCCTTTCTTTAAAATACTCAAGGATAATTTTGCATTGCACATTTAATAAAAAAAAAGTCCATTTGATCTGAAACATAAAAAAGCCAGACTTTAAAATCATTTTTTTATTTTTTTATTATGAACTGAATATACATAATCAACGATAACAACAGCATAAAATATACACTGATTCCCAACAAGATCTGAATAAGGGACTGTCGTTTCTCCACTGTCAACAACAGCATGCCCACCTACCGATTCTTGCCGATGTTTGGTAATGTTAACAGAAATAAATGAACATACATGTAATTGCTAATCTTAACATTGTGAAATAAAAACAAAAAATATGGTACATGTACGGTAGTGGAATTTTAACTTCAAAATGAAAAAAAAATGTCAAAGACAAACAAACAATATATTTAAGCTGTATACATGCACAAACGATCAATAAAATGTTTGACATTCCAGTACATTTATGAATAATAAATAACCATAAATCCACAAACGGTGCAATGAGTTTGATGACTTTTAACCCTTAAAAAGCAGTACCAATTTTTAGTACACAACATATTATAGTGAAATCTCTGGGGACAGTTGACAATTTATATGAGTATATAGCTATACTAATGAATTAAGAAAGGGTTTTATGATAATATAAAATATCATGTATATATCAACAGTGTACATACAAAATGTTGTAAGCCCAAGACAACACTGTATGTATGGACCTATGGAAATCTTTAATGTAAAACATTTTTTTCTTAATTTTCTCACAAAAAACGACGAAAATCAAACGGCTTTATACTGAGTACAGATTCATTCATGTAAGTTGGTTGTGACATGCATATTTTCCTTCCTGTTTGCCAACGAAATTAAGAAAACGTAAACAAATTGGCAAACCACTGACAATCGTCGGAATTCGAACTCATGGCTGATTTCACTACGCTACTTACTCATCAGTGATGATTGAGTAGCATAGTGAAGTCAGCCGTCTGATGAGTGCGTAGCGAAGTGAAGTCAGCCGTCTGATAAGTGCGTAGCGAAGTGAAGTCAGCCGTCTGAAGAGTGAGTAGCGAAGTGAAATCAACCATGGCTATCCGACGATGACCACTGACCAACTATAAATTGAATAGGCAGAAGATTCTAGATTTGATTGAGTTTACTTAATAAGTTTAACGATATAAAAAGATCTACTTATTACAAAAAAACACACCCTATCTCTGCTTGGTTTTCAAAGGAGTTTCTAGTTTATATTTTTGTAATCTTCTAAAGACATAGTACACAATATTATCCACACCTTACACAATATAGTTAACTCATTTATATCATGTGTTGAGCACTCACACATATCACAGTTGTAGATCTATATCTATGATAATCTATGTTAATGTACAAACATTGCATTTTATACAAGGATGACAGTTTAAAACATATAGAAATCCTACAAGACTTAAATACAAATTCTGGAATAATTCAATATATTTTCTGAACAATGTGTAAATGATCTCCATCAAATCAAAATTTGTTTATTTTTTTATATATATCCCGTAAACAAAACATGTCTAACTATCTTTTTGTTTGTTCAAATTTAGGGTAAAAAATCACCGGTAAAGAAGTTCTTTAGAATGTTTCTAAAAACAAAAACAGCCATTAATTATCTATTTTTTTGTCTATTAAAATTCAAATTACTTTGAAATCATCCTTTAAACTTTTAAATACTTTATAAGTAGACAAATTACATTAGAAACAAGCAAAAAAAAAAAAAAAAATCTGATTTATAGTCACAATATTTTAAAAACATTTTTTAAACAAGAGAAAAGAACATTGTACTGCTGTTATTATTTCTGTGAAGTCTAAACTTAAGCTTCATTATCACTGTTTGGAATGTCCAATCTCAATGACATCAATATATTTCTCTGATTAGGTAATATAGTATTCAGAGCATATTGCATTTCGGAATAATGCTAGTTAAGATTGTGATGATCTTCAATATTGAATGAAGACTGGTTTATTGGGATTTTTTTTAACTTTGTACAGTCATTTCCACACTGTTTCTTCTTTTGTATCCACTGCATGTCCCAAAATACCAAGGACACACTCTATCTTCAAAATGACCTGGATACTGATGAAATCATCTGCGTTTGGTTCCACCAAAGCCAGAGGCCGTTCTGGTACCGGAGCTTCCACCCCCTCCAAATGAGAAAGAGGAGCCCCCAGAGAAAGCAGAAGAGCGGTGTTGCGTGCGGGGTTGACCCCAGAAGGAGGAACCAGTGTAAGGAGTGTATGTCCTGCTGCCGTAGTGATTGTTGCCCCTGTTCCCAAACATGTATCCAAGGAGACCACCAGTGGCAGCACCAGTCCAGAAGCCGCCCCCAGTGTTACCTGGTCGGGCATGGTTGCCATAGTTGGTTTGACCACCACTGTAGTAAGAGGATCCGGAACACGAATCTGCAATATCAACAATACACTTATAACCCAAGCTCTCTTGTTTTTATTAATAAAGAAAATCTTTTAAAGATCATTCTTGCAAAATCTTAAATTCTTTGTATCTATCTCGACTAAAATTCAGTCTGATGAATAGTCCTATTTCATAGATTGACTCACCTCCACCTGGCATATAGTCCTGTCTGAACCCCGGGGGTGGAGGCTGACTGCCACCAAATCGGTTGTCCTGTCCTTGATTGGGGTATCTGTTTTCTGCCTGTTGACCGCCAGCGATACAGGTCTTATAGATGACGTACACCACTCCTCCTATAGCACACAGGAGAACCAGGTCCCCCACGATGGATCTGGCCTTACTGTAACTCTTACTGCAACATAAACAAGGTTGACCCATAAGTCCACTAAAACTGACCACAATCATAGACACCCATGATAAGCACTAGAGAATACCTTTCTCTTATTCCACTCATTTTGCTCGTAATCATTACCACTTTTAAATGATATTAGCACATGTTTTATAAGATTAACACATGTGTTATAAGATTAGGAGTGGTTAAGTGATATTACGAGTTGTTTAAACCTATTACAAGTGGTTCAAACATATTACGAGTGGTTTTGTGATATTACGAGAAGTTATGATTACCTGTGGGCACAGACCTTTAAGGTTGACCCTAGTCCACTAAAACTGACCACAATCATAGACACCCATGACGAAATTGACCCAACTCCACTAAAATTGACCACAGTCATAGAATCCCATGATAAGGTTAACCATAGTCAACTAAAACCGATCATATTTGAATACGTATGCAGACTCCTATATCCACTAAAATAGGCCAAAAGTACAGGCTCCTTTAGTCATGACTAAACCAGGCAACTTAAACTGATCACGACCATTAGATCCTATAATAAAGTAAACTTTAATCCACTAAAATTGATCAAAATCACAGATTAATTGAGAAATAACCAGGACTATTTTTTGGGTTATTTAATAGGATATCAGTGGACGCAAGCATTTTTGCCTCTATATCCACATCAATATAATTTGAAATACAATGTGGTAAACATAAAATAAGCCTATACATAAGACTCTGTATGATTGTACTTCAACTCAAGATCTTTCCAGAAATTTTTCTCAAAGTCAAATATGTTAGATGAAATAACATCTTGTGAGAGACTATCCCAGATATCAATTAATCTTTGGGTAAAGTAATGTTTTCTTTTATACAGCATTTACCGAAAAAAATGTGTGCAAATCCACGAAGCTGTTTGTACACAAAGTTTACACGAGTTTTTCAGTATATACTGTATAACCCAATTTGACCATTTTAGCTCATTATAGTCAATGATTATTTATTAAATTCTAATAAAAACAAAATAATTTTGCACAAAACACAACATTGTGCAGTATTTCATATCCAAGCAACCTTAACCCAATCAGAAGATTGCATTACAAATACTGCACCAAATATAGCGGTATGTGACGTCATCCCTTTTTGCATTGTCTGATTTTTTGGTTAAACAATATAATCTGAAAAAGTCTAGCATTGGGGGAAAAGATAAAATTAAAATAATAATGAATATAACTTTAGTCCACTAAAATTGACCACAATCAAATTAAAAGATTCTTGTAATCCGCTATAATTTAACACAATGAGGGGCCTTAAACTTCTATAACTGACATGAATCACTAGCTTTAGTTTTAGATATTTTGAAGCATGGCATGCTAACCTAGACTGGTAGGATGAACGGTCATGGTAGTCTTCGCTGTGACCTCCGTAATTGCTGCCATAGTTGTGATGACCTTGATTTTTTTTCTGCTGACCTTCTTGGGTTAGATCAATGGTGTACTCGAGCTGAAATAGAAATGTGTTCTCATTAATGTCGATAATCATGACAGAACCAGTCATCAACTGAAACGAAAAGGAACATAGCAGTCCAAAATTGTAATATTTTATATTTTCCCACAAAAACACTGTATTTCTATTCTAAGGCACCGCCACTATATAATGCTACAAGCCTTGGATGGCATTCATTTCAGCAATGAACGACATGGCCCAAGTGTTGACCTTTCCATTTTAATGACATTATAATCATAATACTTATGCTTGTTCTATTCATTAAACAAGCTTACACAATACATACATTAATTTGAAGGGAATTTATGTAAGTAAATTTAATGTTCCATGACCTACAAATATTTTCCAAAATTATAAACAGCACCGACTAGAATAGTCAACATTCAAGATTCTTTATTAGGAAAACTGAAAAGCAACATCAATTTTCTCTATTACATTTAACCTTCATTAACCCTTTCACCCCTAAGTAACTTAAGTAGACTCTACCATACTTTCATCTGAGTGAGTCCAATATGGTCTACAGTGGTGAGAGGGTTAAACATTTCACAGGATAGTAATCAGGCATAGATTTTTTTCACTCACATGTATTGTCTTTTTGAGTACATGAAGAAAATTTAAACATTACAATTAAAATGCCTTCATTTACCAATGATTTTTTGTGACAGTGGCCAAAATAGAGTGATTTTAAACGAAATTGACATTCAAATCAGTGATAATAAAAGAACTGAATCACATAGATTATATTGCAGGAAAAACAGTAAATCAAGAAAACATGATAATAACAGAAAAGTGATATTAAGCAATGTGATATTAAGAGAAATGTACTGTATCAACATTCAGTATTATCTCTCAATTCCAGAGCCTCTCTTATAGTCAAGTCTTAACTTAAATAGCACTGACTAAAATAGTCTTGATAAACCAACCAAACTTGGACCACAGGAGTACTCAAGTAATTGGTAAACAGCATTGACTATTGTAGTGAGGATCTAACTTCTGTAAAAGTGGAATATCTGACGTGTGGAAATGGTCACCTTGTGACACTTTACAAGCCATTCAGATTGATATGTCTCGCCTATGCCCTGCTTTGACCATGAATGCACATATCAGAGAAACTTACTTAAACGCAAAAACTTAATGTTGATGGAGATGCTGACAAAGTCAATGGACCATGAAAAGTAGGCCGCGTCCAGCATTTGATGCATGGGTTGAGATGTTCTACCTTAGATGCATCTATGGTCCAAGTTTGGTTGGTCTAACACTTATACTTTCAGAGAAACAAACTTAAACGCAAAAACTTGATGTTGATGATGTCGCCGGAAAAGTAACACCTAAGTCTCGCTTCCACTTCGTGGCGGCGAGACAAAATGTAATCGCAGTGTTGAAGTTCTGGCGTTGACAATGGTTCTGAAATACCCCCATTCTACCGGTATATACAATAGTCACATGAAGATATTTTCGCACTAGTGCAAACATTTCAACAACGGGATAATTTCCATTTTGACAGTAAACAGCTTTAAGACTAATGCAGTAAAACATGATTTAGAGAGGGTCTACAGCATATGTTTGTACTTACACCACAGGAGCCTCGCAGTATGTAAGGGTCGTCTGGGTAGTCAAACCCCTCACAGGACACCTCCACTCTCCCGAACCTGTAGGTGTTATCCATGTCTGTCTTACACTCCCACTGTAATGATATTGTTATCAAAATCTGAATGACAACATTCTGTTATCAAGAAAGTACCATTTAGAATCTAAATTATCCATAATTTGAAACATATGTAAGTGATTGTTTGTGTACCCACAAGGAATTGTTGCTAATAATAGTTATTGTTTACAACAGTGAATCTAACAAAGACAAAATAGATATTGACATACTGATTCAGATACTGACAAACTGATCTGAACAAGAGAACTCTTCCACTTCAAAGGTAGGAATACTTCATTATGAAATTATAGGGGCTAATGAGCTAATGCACACCCAGGATAAATGTTACCTGTGCCGATTTCAAAACATATACACAAATTGTCCCTAGTTCACATCCTCCCTAATCCCTACTGATCTGAACAAATTGAACTCACCTGAATGTCGCGCCCATCTGATCCCTTGTTCGTGCACTGGACTACCTGAGGAACAAAGGTTCCACATCCAGCCGATCCTCCTTCACACTTCAACTGCGGGATAGGACCGCTCCGCCTAGAGTTTGTCATTCGGCCATTGTACAAGGTCAAGGTTTCCACTTCTGACAGTAAAACCTTATCCTCTCCTCCAAAGCCAAAGGCCCCTTCAATAAATAGTGGTAGTAAATATAAATATGTGAGCTGAAAATGTATATTTAAAACACATGCTAACTTACAATTACTGTCAGTGTCTGACAAAAAGGAAATTAGTTTCATCCCTTTTAAATTGGTAATTTTGCATTCTTTAGATAAAAGGAAACAAAATTACCCGAATCTAAATATCACTCATTTTATAGATAATTCTGCAGTATACAGTGGTTCTAATACATGTGTTATTTTGGTGTTATGCCAGTCATGTTACCATAGGCAATATTACATGTACATGGATTTCAAATTTTCTTCTACTTTTACTTAATTTGGAGAAAATACAAGAAATTGGCTCATTTATATAATATTGGCATGTCTAACTGGATTATGATGGGGCAATAAAACATTTTCTCTCATTTCCCTGTGTGTAAGATAGAGCTATCCAGTGTAAGAAAGGGGTGTAGGAAATTTCTATCCCACACCCCATTTCACGTGACGTGAGGTCACAATTGCTCAACAATGACGTGACGTCATGAATTTGGAATTCTCCGATGCCGCAATGCGGTAAAGGCGACGTCATGAAACTAAACCCTTTTACGATATATTTACAGTACACGTTAGAAAGATGAGATTAATTTTTCTGCGCAAACATGTTTGCAAATATGGGTTATGTTTAATCTGACTGGCTGATTCGTTTTCGTCTAAAATGTTCAGGAGAAAAGAAAAAAAAAATCAAAATGGTGACCAGTCCAAACGCATTTTCATGGTTTCTGAGCTTATTTTGGTGTTTGGAATGAGAGAAAAATACTCTTTCATGCCCAAGGGTGTAGGAAAGGGAAATTCCACCCATGGGATTTTCAAATTTGGAAAGCCGAGCCTACACCCCTGGGCATGGTAGAGTCTTATAGTGTCGCCCTATAGTGCACTTGAGTTTCCTTGGTCTTAATTCCCTATCCAGAGCCTCTCTAGAAAAATGGGCAAGAGCTAACGCAACCAAATTCTGAGTGGCTGGAGCAGAAAACAACAAAGGTGCATCAACTTGGACATCTTTATCATTGTGTTACTGATTTATTTCGGGATTATAAAATATTAATTTCCCTTGTGGAAGGGGATACATTATACTTTCTTTCTACAAGATTAATCATTACATGAGGGCAAAGCCAAAATGAAACATCATTAATCTTGGAGAAACAAATCTTGTCTCCCTACCACAAGGGAAATAAATATATAAAATCAGACAGGTAGTACAAACTTATGTTACCGCATAAAATTTTAAAAGACGATAATATCAAACACATGTACAGACTCAATACAAATCTGCCTAAAATGGGCAGAGTTCTGTATTTAGCCAGCAATCATAAAGGCCATTCAGGGGTTTTCCAGCTGGTAGCTCTAAGAAACAGACTCTAGGATAAAAATTTGGGGAAAAACATGGATATAAAAATTATTCTGGGAAATATGGATGAACACTTTAACCATTCTGAGTGCATAAAGGTAGACTGTTTAACTTTTATTTTGGCCTATCTTTATGACAACATAGCACAGGTGTAAGACCATGTGCATCATATCGACAACATACCAAGGAGTTTATAGACCAAACTCCAAACCAAATTATTTACCAAATTCTGCAGCACTTTGTATCACTCACCTGATCCTAAGTGGATATTCATGAAGCAAATCAGAAGAGACAGGCAAAAACCCATTGATTTTGTCGTGGTTTTATCAGCCATCTTGGTTCTTTGAAAATATCTGGTTTGAACTTGTATCAATGGCAATAGAACAGCTTCAAACAAGCCAAGGTACAGTTATCTGCAAAATAAGAGGAAAATATTTGTTTCAGTAAATACTGTCTTTTATACAGTCAAACCTTCTGAAAGGCAAGGAGATGGAACAAGTACATTCTTTAATAATGTCTATGTCTTTTTAACTGAAAACTAGTTAATCATATCCAGTTCATGGCTAATTTATTGATAATTTAATGAAAAAATGTCATGCGGCATAATCGTTATGAGATGTGAATGTCTTATATAAAATATTCTTCCATAACAAATTAAAGAAGTACTGTATAGCAGGATTTTTCTGCAGAGATGATATTTTAGCGATTTCGTGGGGCAATAACGTAATCATGAAAATATGATCAGGAGAATAATTTGAAAAGCACAAAAAGCAGCCGGGATAATTAACTTTATAAGCCTAATGTCGTCATGAACTAGCATTCATATAGAGGTACATAAAGAGTCATGATGTGTGAAAATAGGCTCTACACTGTATCGCCCATTTGATGATTTCTTTAACAAAATACACCTATTTGCTGTTGCTCAATATGCTGTCATAAGCCTATTAATTTGACTATTTAACACTTTATGTGTGCCGAGTCTCATCTCTGTGCTAACACACAGCGAAAATTTAGTTCCTTCACATGTCTTAATTTCGAAATTAAAATCTGTGTAAATTCAATTTTCTAATTTTGGGTAAAAATCACACAAATTTAAGCCAGCGCAAATATACTGTAATACTGTGTTTATATTTTACAATGTTTATGTGTAAAAAGATACATTTTTTGTATCCCTTTTTTTCACGCCTCTGCGCTCAGTTTCCCGAAGGCACTATCATCAGTATTGATGGAGCCTTCGTATACTAAAGAAATCCTGAGGATGGAATAACTAATTCAGAACCCAAAACCAAAGCTGATCTCCTGAACAATCAGTTTTACTCAGTATTCACTCAAGAACAGCTATCAAACTTTCCTAACTTTGGTCCCCCACCACCATACCAAAGTATGCCTTTACTGTTGGTGAGACAGGACAGGTGTTTTTAGACTTCTATCTAATCTACAGATGCATCAGCGAAAATTCTTAAATGCTTCGCAAGGCCAATAGCTCCTGCATTAACAAAATTATTTCAATTATCCCTGGACATGGGCACTGTTCCTCTTGATTGGCACAAGGCAAATATACTCCCCATCTATAAGAAAGGTGATAAACACTCTTCCGAAAACAACCTTCGTCTGGTTTCGTTTACTTCCATAACATGTAAACTGCTCAAACATTTATTCACAGTAGCATCATGAACCAACTAGACAGAAACAAAATTCTAATACACGTTCAACATGGTTTTCTCTCTAAGCACTCTACCGAAATTCAACTTATTTTAACTATTGATAACTTAGCCAGAAACATAAATAAAAACAAACAGACAGATATTGCACTTTTAGATTTCTCAAAGGCCTCCATCAATGGCTACGTACTCTCTAAACTTACATATTGTGGTATAAACAGCCAAACATGTCTTCGGATATCTCAGTTTTTTAAATTCTAGAACCCAGAAAGTCTTACTAAATGGAACAGAATCAGATAACTGTCCTGTCCTCTTTTTGTCACCATGTAGAAATCACACCAGTGTTACTGACGGATATGGTAAAAACACTGTTATAGTGTAATATACATACATTGCTTATATAGCAAAGGGTACAAATTTACAGAATATACACTTTAATTATGTAGTGTGTATTAAAAGTTGACAATGAATGAAAAAAAAAGATTATAATCAGAAAATTATCAAAAGAGTTTCGGCTTTAAAAATGTAGCACTTTGCAAAACATCACAGATAAGGGAGATAATCACAGTTCAGTTATTGATATAATATCATGGACAGTATCATATATTTGGTTTTCTAAGCGATTGGGAATCCCCTACCTACATATGTTTTTAACATCCATATCAAAATTTAAGAAAGAATTTATAGTAACTCCCAAATTTTGATGGCCTCCTCACAATGAATTACAATATTGCCAATGTTAACAAATTAACTAGAGGTCCAGGGGCCTTAATAGCTTAATAGGGGGGGGGGGGGGGGGGGGGGGGGGGGGTCATGCAGCATGCTTCAGGCCACATTTGGATCAAATCCCTTTGTTTGTACAGAAGGTAAAATATTTTTCTCTATTTCTCTATTGGGCACATTTATAGATATTAAATTCCTTTTGCCCAAAGATGCTCTAGAACAAGTTTAGTTAAAATCCCTTCATTGGTACAGAGGGAGAATGATCTTGAATGTTTTCTTCTATTTCCCCTAATGGGCCCCATGATCACCCATCTGCCACAAAGAAAGCAGCCCACACACCTCAGTTTATTCAAAATTGATTCTTTTGTCCCTAAGCATGCTTCAGACTGCATTTGGTTTAAATACCTTTACATGTATAGTAGGGGGAAAAAATCCTCTATTTCCCTATTGGGCCCCATCCCTCTGCCCCCAAAGGGGCCACAACAACGAGGGGTCATCCCCATACAGCTGAAAATGGTGACTGAGGGAAAACTGAGAAGACATTAGACGAAGCGATCAAGACAGGTGCAGAGACTCGTCTTCAAAATGTAGAAGCGTTACCAGCAGGGGAGGTTGACAACATCGCAGCTTTAACGGAAGGTGTCCGCTTCCCTTATTCTATAAAGTCATTAAAGTGTAGGATGTGAACTTTGATAAGTTGTGTGCTTGGACAATTTTAGCTGAAGTGTGGTATTATACATGTGAAACTGTCTATAATTGTAGCTATTGATGAAGTGTGGTTATTATACAGGGAACCCTTAGACAGGGTACCATGTGAAACTGTCTAGAATAGTAGCCATTGATGTAGTGTGGTTATTATACAGGGAATCCTTATACGAGGTAACATGTGAAACTGTCTATAATAGTAGCTATTGATGTAGTGTGGTTATCATACAGGGAATCCTTAGACAGGGTAACATGTGGAATTGTCTATAATAGTAGCCATTGATGAAGTGTGGTTATTATACACAGTAACCTGTGAAACTGTCTATAATAGTAGCTATTGATGAAGTGTGGTTATTATACAGGGAACCCTTAGACAGGGTACCATGTGAAACTGTCTAGAATAGTAGCCATTGATGTAGTGTGGTTATTATACAGGGAATCCTTATACAGGGTAACATGTGAAACTGTCTATAATAGTAGCTATTGATGAAGTGTGGTTATTATACAGGGAACCCTTAGACAGGGTAACATATGAAACTGTCTATAATAGTAGCTATTGACAAAGTGTGGTTATTATACAAAGTAACCTGTGAAACTGTCTATAATAGTAGCCATTGATGTAGTGTGGTTATTATACAGGGAATCCTTAGACAGGGTAACATATGAAACTGTCTATCATAGTAGCTATTGACAAAGTGTGGTTATTATCCAAAGTAACCTGTGAAACTGTCAATAATAGTAGCCATTGATGTAGTGTGGTTTTTATACAGGGAATCCTTATACAGGGTAGCATGTGAAACTGTCTATAATAGTAGCCATTGATGTAGTGTAGTTATTATACAGGGAATCCTTATACAGGGTAACATGTGAACCTGTCTATAATAGTAGCCATTGATGTAGTATGGTTATTATACAGGGAATCCTTATACAGTGTAACATGTGAAACTGTCTATAATAGTAGCCATTGATGTAGTGTGGTTATTATACAGGGAATCCTTATACAGGGTAACATGTGAAAATGTCTATAATAGTAGCCATTGATGTAGTGTAGTTATTATACAGGGAATCCTTATACAGGGTAACATGTGAAAATGTCTATAATAGTAGCCATTGATGTAGTGTAGTTATTATACAGGGAATCCTTATACAGGGTAACATGTGAAACTGTCTAGAATAGTAGCCATTGAATGACAATGTGAATTATGTATGTATAAATGTATGCTATCCCTGTATGGAAATAAAATTATTCATCAATGTAATAATATGAATCTTGTTTTGTTTTTGGTATTAATGGTTGAAACAAACGCTGCATATCAATCATTGAAAAGAAAATAACTGATGAGAGAAAACATGACATAAGGGTACTCCAAATGGAACACTTTACATTTACATATAGATACATCATGAAGTGTCATGTTTATTTTGCAATCTGTCTTTTCCAAATCAAATAATGTTGAATAGCAGCTCTTTAAAACATTAAATAACAGTACAAACTCATTTTGCTGTACTCTCACGTGAAAAAAAACTTATATCACCTCACAGGACATATTAGATATCAAGTCCATGCTTATATCAAATATACATGAACTGTATCAAAACAAGCAAAGATCACTTGAGACAATCTATTAACGAAAGATATTAAGAAACATGAGCAAATCAAAATAGGGAGAGTGAACAAACTGATACAAACACGTGTATTATAGCACAAGTTTGACTCCACACTTAATAGCGTTCTTTCCTATACAGCACGCAAAAAGTGGTGAAGTTGGTGCCAAAATGTGTTTTCCATAAGTACCGAATATGTCAGAAGTACCGAAACGACTTGGTACCGAAACGACTTGGTACCGAAACGACTAGAATTCCCATATACCAATCGCAGAGTGTACTGGACCTTACATTATTGGACTTGATAACTCTTTTTCGATATCTGTAGAAACAAGAAATCTTTAAAAAAAAAATACAGATACTTCAGAGTCTATTGTCACTAGTTTTTCATTTTCAATATTCCGAATATTTTGCTCGTATGATATCGATATATTTTATAAAATAAGGTCGGATGGTCGGCCAGAAATCTTTAGACCCTTACTTCACTTATTTCAGTTCTATATGATTTGATCTTAATGATGGAAGCAAGAATATTCATACTTACAATGGAAAGCGATAGTTCTAACTTCTTGAATGCAAATTTTCTGGAAAATGATTCAATGTCATTTTCTCGATTATATATATGACGATACACTGAGCTACACTGACGTGTATTTATTTACTTCCGGTTTCAAATCTGCCTCTTTTCAGGACTTGTCTATAACGTCAACAAAAGCACTCAAACTAAGCGTGTTACTGATCGGCCCTTACTGAGTACACAACATGGAGGGAGAGGAAAAACAATCCGAAGACCCAAATACTTTAAAAGAATTTATTTCGAAGAGAAATTGGGAAAAGGACTGGCATATAATCTGGACTGTTCCAGATGGAGAAAGGACAGAAGAAAAGGCTACGACAGCTGTAGTTTACGCTTCTGCCATCGGTATGTTGTCGTGACCTTGAGCATGTTTAGCACAGGGACCTGAGATTTTGTTATGATTTAGCTGTGTTTGGACCATAACTGATTCAAGTAAAAGTAATATAAAAATCAATCCTACTTTAATAACTTGCATCAAAAATCACATTTCTAGTGGACATACAATAAATGCTGAGTATCGTTGGACTTAGATGGTTACTGTACAGTATTTCTTCTAACACAAACCTGTTATAGTGTGCAGGTCCAGTACACTCTGCCGATTGAGCTATATAGCTATAAAGACCTATATAGCTATATACACCTATACATTATAGCTGTATTGAGCTATATTTTCTCAGATTTCAATTTTCATTAAATTAAAGCAAAGTCGCATTAAGCAATAAGGTTTATGGTAATGTTGACTACAAAAAGCATACAGTTAGATGTTTATTTTCATTCTTCATAAATGTAAAATTTCCGATTTTTTTACATCATTATTTTTTAAAAAGAATCCTTATATTTACTGCCTTTTGTTATCCACCTAATGATACAATCTTCTTTTAAAAGCGACTTGGTTTTGTTTTCCTTAAAAAAGAAAATTACTCAAAAAATAGCTCAAAAGACCTATTTCAGATAGGTCAATAGAGCTATTATAGGTCTTTACAGCTATATAGCTCAATCGGCAGAGTGTCCTGGACCTGGTGTGGCAGGTTTTAATTGTACATAGGATAAAAGTCGCCTTCTAGCTTCGAGCTAGAGGGAATTTCCGAATAGCTCAGTGAGAGAGCGTCCAACTAGGAACCTGGAGATTGAGGGTTCTGTCTCCGGTGGAAGCACACTATTCCCTTTCCTGTTACAAATGGTGTCCATGCATGGCCCTCCCTGTGTAGGTGACAGGCAGTTAGAACCTGGGTTGTGGTGTTTGAGGGCGAACACATTTAAAAGAGGGGGAATAGTGTGGCAGGTTTCAATTGTACATAGGATTAAGGTCGCCTTCTAGCTTCGAACTAGTGGGAATTTCCCTTTCGCTCAGTGGTTTAGCGTCCAACTAGGGACCTGCAGATCAAGGGTTCGATCCCCGGTGGAAGCACACTATTCTCTTTCCTGTTACAATATAAAGGTCAAGTTAGTTTCCAATACAGGAGCCAATAGAGCTCCCCTACACTGGACGCAAAAAATTAAACAATTGTGTAATATAAATTGAAAGTTCACTGTTAATTACATTTGCCCTATATTTATAATTAAGTTCTTCATTCTTCCAAAGTTTATCTATTCTGTTATTTGTTCATCAATGTTTTTTTCTTTTAAAAATGACACAAACCCTTTTAGAACCTCACTCCCTTGTTACCCCTGGGGCATTGTCAATGCTACGCTTTTCTTCTGTGGATCATACATTTAAATAATGTTCCGAAAAGCGCAGCCATTCCTCCCCTAGAATAGCCAGCTAATGACACCGAATGTTCAGCACGTGGCAGACGTTAACCTCTCGAATGTGGCAAAAAGTTGCCTGATGACTGCGAAAAACTTTAAAACTTGGAAATGGCGTTTGTTTCTGGAGGAAAAGGAGAATACATTTGATGTGCGCATGCATATCCATCATTCCAACGGTACCAAGCATTTTTTCGTACAACAAATAGAAATGTGATATTTGATGCAAGAAAGTTAGATGGGGTAGATTATTTGACATCGAGAGCTTTCCACCCATCTCGTAGATTATCATCATTGGGGGTGGCATTTTTACCGAAATTCATCTAAACCTCCCCAAAAGATGGTGGACAGGCAAACTGATCAGATTAGGGAAAGAAGAGAAAAGATCAAACTGACATGGAACTAATGAAGATGGTACAATGGTGGGCGCCTAGCTCCATCTGGGATCTCTTGTCCTTTCAGGCAGCCTATAGTAGGTGTTTTTATTTTATTTTCAGGATTTTTTTGTTAACATGTCATTCATATTTTTTATTTCTTTTAAAGAATAAGCCATATCAATGTGGCAGGCAATGATTTTGGTTTATATGAAGTAATGGTGAATGGGAGTGCAGTTACAATGGCTAATAAGAACAATTATCCTGACATTATTTCATTTCAGGAGTGACTTCTGGCCTGTTTAGAGCATCTCTTGGTCCGACAGCTGCGACATCTTTAGGTTTGATTCCTAAACTTGGAGTATTTGGCGCTGTTCTTGGTCCGAACAGTAAGTCTCAAATATCTTTCACAATTAATACTACCTTCAGCCCTGCAGTCTCATTTAGAAATTCTGTTACATGTTATGTAATGAGTTACTCTACACAATTCCTCTTTTTCCGTTATACAGTATTCTCTTGTTAGTAGAATTAGCCCCAGGATCTGGCCTTGTACCTAACCTATCAGATCCTTACCCCATTATACCATACTTTGGTAATGGGGTATTGGTCATTGTTGGACATGAAGAAATAAATACACACATCTTGCCCACTCCTGGGTGCTTACTCTGTGTTTTTGTATTGCAGAGTTATCTGCTCTTGATAACAGGTATTGATTGTTACGTCATTTGTTTGTGAGAGTAAGGTTATCATTTTTTGAGAAAACAACATCATTTTCTCACATAACTCTGCAATACAAAAGATGGAATAAGTTCTTGCTACAGCTTATATTATATTTCTTATATTCTTTTGATAAACGTATAAGGTATGAAATTTAAAATTAATCTGAACTTTTATTACCTGTAGGCCTCTTTAATTCAAAATTTGGAAAAAAATAAAAAAATATTCCAGAAATGTCATTAGAAAAAACATGATGATTGTTTGTATCAGTTGTAGCAGCAGCTACCTTTGTGTATGTAACAAGCTATGCTGCTCAAGTTAGAGGCAAATCTGAAGCACACAATCACGCCTTTGGAGGTGCAGCTGCTGGTGCTATCCTAGGATTCAAGCGTAAGTGTACAAAATGCCTTTTATCTTCGCCTAATTATCTGATGCCTGAACAGAATGTTGGTTAAGGGTATCACACTATATAAATACGGCAACTATTAAAACCGAAGTTTCTCAACCCTTGGTTAGACATTTCCTTGGACAAGTTCTCTTTTAAGATTATATAAATATGGTAACTAAACTGAAGTTTCTCAACCCTAACAAAGTGGAGGGGAAGTATACTGGAATCAAGTTGTCTGTGGACTGACTATTGTTCAGATAACTCCAACTTCAATTTTCATTCTTATTTAACTCCAGTCATATTGTCAGTACTAGTAACTGTACTCTGAGGTTGTGAGCTTCCACTTGCTTTTTAGCTTGCCTATTCGGAGAATAGGGGGGCTAATGTAATCACCCTGGGGTCGGTGTCCCACCTTCCGAGGTTAAAGTTTTTGGACAAGTTTTTTCCAGACACTGTTGGATCATCACGCTCAATACACAGTTGTCTATTATGAGGTTCAGGCATTTATATCGAGTGTAAGCAATGTGCTGGAATATTTTCATATTTAAGGGTCCAAAAACAGCTTAATTGGACTTGGTTAAAGTTTTGGGGCAAGCTTGAGCTCAAGTTAAAGTATTGGGGCAAGATTTTTTGTGAAGTGTTAGACAACCACCATCAATAGGCTGTTGTCTGTTATAAGGTTGAAGTATTTATATTGAGTGTAAGCAAGGTGCTGGACCATTTTTTCATATTTTAGGGGCCAAAAACAGCTGAATTTGACTTGGTTAAAGTTTTTGGCAATTTTTTTTGTGAAGTGTTGGATCACCCCCATAGGCTGTTGTCTATTATAAAGTTTGGGTATTTATATGGAGTGTAACCAATGTTGTGAATTGTATTTTCATAATTTTAGAGGCCAAAACTGGTTAGTTGGACTTGGTAAAAGTTTTTTGTGCAGTGTTGGATCGGTCACCACCATCAATACACTGTTGACTATTTCACGTTAGCTTCTCATCTTTTCTATCTTACATGTTAAGGCACAGCAAAACCTTGTTATATTGCTATCATTTGTTTAAAGAAATGTTGGCATCATTAAGGGGTTTGGCAATAAATTCAGGGAAATTTGGCAGTAAGTGAGGTGGCAAATGAAATGATAGGCATTATATCAAGGTTTTACTGTATATGTGTTTCTATTGATATTTGCTATCTCACAACATATATCACCAATACGCGAGCTATGCTGTTCTCCAACAGCTCTTGTTTAATTCAGCTGTTAATAGGGTTCAAATCCTTTTGGGACATATTCTCTTACAGTTTTATTTTCATTCACTAATGTTAATGTTGTTACCATGTGAATCATATGCCTTAATGTTTGGCTGGAAGCCTACTGGGATGGAGACCGATGAACTTTGCAAATGGAAATGACCTTGACATACTTCTAATGATAAGGGAAAACATCAAAAAGATTTAAAGCCAAAACTGTTTTCAGTGTTTACATTTGACTTTTTGATCATTTGCCATGATTTAAGTGAGCAACAAGAAAGTTGATTTGAGCACAGAATTCATGCTTGAGGATGAGAACGGTTTCATGATTATGTATTATTATTCAAAAGCTTTCTTTACCTTTTTTCTTCTTTTTTTTTAAGGTGCCTAGTGGTAACCAATCTTCTTTAATGTGATGGATTGTTTCTGAAAAAAAGCTTTGATTGGTTTTTTTTTGTATTTTTACAGACAAAAGTCTTCTCAAGATAGCACAAAGGAGTATTTGGCTCGGAGTGGCCGGAGTGTTGGCATCCCAGTTAACAACTTTGCCAGGTTTTCAAGAAATAATCAAGGCACCTACAGGGAAACAGTTATATGTGCTCGGTGGTAGGCGCTGGAAAACACCCACTAACTTGGAGCATAAATGAAAGGCCACCTTCCATGAATGTTATATGCCATCGTAACATGGATTTGTAAAATTAGAACATGGGAAAAATGATTACAGGGCAACAAAATTCAACATACATTAAAGTTTTTACAGGCGGATACAGTGACTGTGTACATAGAACTGGGGTTTTTTTGCAGATCATATTTGGTATCAACTTAAGTTCCAAGAGTTGGACATTTTGTTGTACATTATCTTCTCATGTGTGTTTCAGTAAAACTGTGAAAAATTGTTTCCAGACTGTGTTCTCCTTTTTTGTTTCACCCATAAAGAAGTTGGAAGTATACCGAGATCAACACACAGCTTTTTTTTCCAAAATGTTCCTCGTAATAACTGCACAGATGTAAACACATTTTACCTTTCACATAATCTTTTTTATCACATGTGTAACCTGTATGACCTTTGCATTGCTTTTAGGCAAGTTATAGCCATTGTTCACTTATTCTAACAAAGCATTTTCCAGTTTACTTCTCCTAAAATAAAGGACGGTTTTCATCAAAATTTTGCAAGTATCTTATATATCAGGTGAAACTATTGTGTTGGTTCAGACCCTGATTTAAGTGTTATACATGTAGCCCTTAATATTGTGATCCTGTATGTGAATGTTGATCCTTCGTTATCCCGTCATTATTAGATGGTGGGTTGTTCTGTCAGCTGAAATTGTTTATCCCTATTTCTCCAAAAGACCTTAAGACACCATTCTAAAATTTCATATGAAGGTTTTGTTTTCGCCCTTAGCTTTGCAGGTTTTATATTGAGAATTATCATGATAACAAAAAGACCACCAGGCAGCCATCTTGGATTTTGACGGTTAAAGTTTGTTATTGCTATTTCTGAAATATTTGACAGATCTACCTCAAATTTCATATGTATGTTTCCTTGTGTAAGTCAGCTTTTCTTGTTCAATAGTTTTCCATGTTTCATTTTGAGTTTCGAGCTGCTTGATCAGAAAAAAATAGATGCCTGCCAGAAAACAGAAATTTCTCTCGTTTAACCTTTTACGCATAAATTGGTCAAACAATATGCTAACTTTGAAAGGACGACACTGTCAACCCAGCACTGTGAAATTTCACTCAAAAGTTACTAGAAGATGATTTTATTGTTGCCAGTACTATTAATTTGAATAAATCAAACTGACATAAAACAAGTAAAGAGCTTACAATGGCTGGTGCCAAAATCCCTCTGGGAAGTTTTTAGCTCACCTGGCACGAAGTGCCAAGTGAGCTTATGCCGTGGTGCGTCGTCCGTCGTACGTACGTCCGTCCGTCCGTCCATCGTCCGGCGTCAATATTTTACTTTAAACGACTTCTTCTTAATAACCGAAAGGCCTAGGGTGATGATATTTGGCCAGAAGCAAACTGGGATGAAGGGCTACCAAGTTTGTTCAAATAAATGGCCTTCATCTATTTTCAAGGTCACAGGGGTCAAATATGTTAAAAACTTTAAACAACTTCTCCTGAATAACCAAAATGCCCTGGGTGATGATATTTTGTCAGTAGCATACTAGGATCAAGGGCTACCAAGTTTGTTTAAATGTATGACCTTGAATCATATTCAAGGTCACAAGGAGCAAATATGTTTAAAATATTTCAACAACTTGTTCTGAATAACCAAAAGGCTCAGGATGTTGATATTTAGTTAGTAGCATATGCTGGGATCAAGGACTACTATGTTTGTTAAAGTGAATGACTTTGACTTATATTCAAGGTCACAGGAGTCAAATTTGTTTAAAATCTTTAAACAACCTCTTATGAATAACCATGGGTCCCAGGATGTGTATACTTTGCAAGTTTCATCCTGAGATGAAAGGCTATACAATGTGTTCAACATAATGACTTTGTTCGACTTTCAATCACAGGGGTGAAATATTTTAAAAAAAATTAACAGGGTCTTTTGAACGAATTTTAATCATAAATACTGATATTTTGCCTGTAGCTTTATTTTAGATCACTTTTAAGGTTACAAGTGTGAGTTTTATACCAGGTGAGCGATGCAGGCCCATTGGGCCTCTTGTTGTTTTAAGGATGTACTCTTCTGAGGTTTCAATCACGTTCAAGTCTTGTTTTGATCTTGTGTAACAGGTCTCAAAAACCAAAAGGCCTATGATGATGAAATTTGGCCAGAAGCAAACTGGGATGAAGGACTACCAAGTTTGTTAAAATAAACGACCTTCACCTATTTTCAAGGTCACAGGGGTCAAATTTGTTAAAAACTTTTAACAACCTCTTCTGAATAACCGAAAGTTCCATGCTCAATAACTAAGAGGCATAGGATAATGGTATATGGCCAGTAACATGCTAGAATGAAGGTCTACCAAGTTCGTTCAAATGAATGACTTTTATATATATTCAAGGTCACAGGGGTCAAATATGTTAAAAACTTTAAACAACTTCTTCTCAATAACCAAAAACCCTAGGATGATGCTATTTGGCCAGTAGCATGCTGTGATAAAGGGCTACCAAGTTTGTTCAAATGAATGACCTTGACTAACTTTGAAGGTCACAGGGGTCAAATGTCTTAAAATCTTCAAACAACTTCTTCTCAATGACCAAATAGCCCAGGGTACTGATATTGGGCCTGTAGCATGCTGTGATGAAGGGCTTCCAAGTTTGTTGAAATGAATGACCTTCATCCATTTTCGAATTCACACGGGTCAATTGTCTTAAAAAGTCTTTAAACAAATTCTTCTGAATCACTACGAGACTTAGGATAATGATATTTGGCCAGTAACATGCTAGGATGAAGGGCTACCAAATTTGTGCAAATGAATGACTTATATATATATTCAAGGTCACAGGGGTCAAATATGTTAAAAACCTTTAAACAACTTCTTCTCAATAACCGAAAACCCTAGGATGATGCTATTTGGCCTGTAGCAAGCTGTAAATGAAGGGCTACCAAGTTTGTTCAAATGAATGACCTTGACTAACTTTGAAGGTCACAGGGGTCAAATGTCTTAAAATCTTCAAACAACTTCTTCTTTATAACCAAATAGCCCAGGGTACTGATATTGGGCCTGTAGCATGCTGTGATGAAGGTCTACCAAGTTTGTTCAAATGAATGACCTTGACCCATTTTCAACCTAATGTCCTTGTTCGACATTCAAGGACACATGCTTCATGTTTAATTCTTTTAATAGGTTCTTGTGAATAAAACACTGATATTCTGCCTGTAGCTGTATTTTAGTCTACTTTTAAGGTTACAAGCGTGAGATTAATACCAGGTGAGTGATGCAGTCCCATTTGGCCCCTTGTTTATCTTTCATATGATTAAAATAAATTGCATCAACATGGAAAACTAGACATGATTGATATTTTTTAGAGGTGTACATCCTTAAATTGTATTATTAGCTTACAGTATGCCATATCATTGCGTCTGTCATCCGTCTATCCATGCGTCCACAATTTCTTTGAACGACTTCTTCTTAACCACTTATTAGAATTCAACTAAATTTGACTGGAAGCATCCCTAGGTGGTGGGGATTCAAAATTGTACAAATGGTGGGGCTGACCCCCCAGGGGGCTGAAGGG